TTTAAAATATTAAGGTTGGAATGAAAGGTATGAGTTTTCTACAGCTGATCTGGAAGTGAGTGCAAAACAGTTGAGATCTCTCCTAAAAGGTTCCAAAATTTTTACAACATAATAACAATACAATGTGACAATTTTTTTTTCATTTTTACGAGGCAACAGCAAATTTTAGAAAAAAAACTTTATTTACCCTACATAAATTATTATAAAAATTGAAGTTTTTGAAATGTAGCCTGCACTAAAATGTTGTATAAATTTTCAATAAACAATAAATTAGACAATTTTAATTAGAAGATAATTAGATATATTTAAAATTTTTTTTTTTAATTAAGCGGAGGTGGATCCCCCGTATCAGGCCCTGAAATACCTGACTGCTGAATGTAACTATGGTGGTAGAATTTTAGATCTTCAAGACAGGATTCTCATCAACTCACTTCTTAACTCATTCTATTCAACACAGATAGCCACCAACCACGGGTCAAGGTAGTAATCGGAAAACTTTAGTTGTCCCTTAATTTATGAAAAGAAATGTGTGATTCACAACGGTACCATTGAAACCTTCTTTCGTCTTTTTCTACCTTAAAAAGTTACACTTTCCTTCTTGTTGTAGCTGGAGTAGAAATGCGCTAGGCACTTATACAGAGAAACAAAGGAATTGAGTCTTTGCCACAAACTCTGCTTTTTTAATGTCGTAGACCTTAGATATTTCAAACATGAATTCTGTTGGATCAAATAATATAAGTTTGAAAGGTTTACGACATTGGGTTCCAAAGACTTAGGGATTATAAGTTCAGAGTTTGTGGCAAAGACTCAATTCCTTTAAGTTAAACACATGGGTATCACATTATTTCATTATATAAAGCTTTAAAAGTACTATTGTGAATCAGGCATGCTATTCCATAAATATAGGGTCACTTGTAATTGTATTTACATTCTACAGTTCCTTTAAATAGACGCAATGTTGTGTAATGTTTTTGTATTTTTCTTCTATATTCATAATTTCTCAACTCTCTCGACTAAAAGTTGCTATAGGATCTTTATTCATGACTTCAAACAGGAATGCTATGCAGATTGCAGAATGCAAATGTTAACTCTTATAAATCATACTTTTAAAGAATTTGAAAAATCCCAACCACCCCTGCAACCACCACCTTTTTCAATAATGAGATTTCTGGAAAAATAAAGTATTTTCACGAACATTTTTTTTGATCAAGGATTTATCTTTAGTTCCAGCTCCTTCATCTCCTCCTTCTTTTCCTTCTTATCCTACTCCTTCTTCTCATCCTTCTCTTCTTTCTTCTTTTTCTCCTCCTTCTCCTCCTTTTCCTTACCTCCTCCTTCTCTAGTATGCTTACGGCTTTGCTATTGATATCGTATCTCAGAAATAAGTTTAAAGTACCCGCAGGCGTAATTTCAAGTTAATAGAGTGGCATTTTTGGATTTTTAAGCACCAGAGATGGGATTTAAAGGCACAAATAAGATGTAATACTTAAAGTTAGTTGAACCTTCTCTCTGGTACACTCTTGCTCAATTGCTTCTGTCCCATAGGTTTTTCAACCTCAGAGGAAACAACACAAACATTTATTTTTTACAGATTGATGACTGATGAGTTTTGTGTTCCGACAGATTTAAGTGTTGAGGGCTGTTTGAACCAGATCCATACTATACCAGTTCCTGTTCAACCAGCAGTTTTAGGTAATATTAGACTATACCAGTTCCTGTTCAACCAGCAGTTTTAGGTAATATCAGACTATACCAGTTCCTGTTCAACCAGCAGTTTTAGGTCATGTTAGACTATACCAGTTCCTGTTCAACCATCAGTTTTTTAGGTAATATTAGACTATACCAGTTCCTGTTCAACCAGCAGTTATAGGTAATGTTAGACTATATCAGTTCCTTTTCAACCAGCAGTTTTAGGTAATATCAGACTATACCAGATCCTGTTCAACCATCAGTTTTAGGTAATACGAGACTATACCAGTCCTGGTCCACTAGCAATTTTAGGTGATACTAGACTATGTTAGACCTGTTAAACCAGAAGTTTTAGGTAATACCAGACAATACCAGACCTGTTAAACAAGCAGTTTTAGGTAATACCAAAATATGCTAGTTCCTCTTCAACCAGCAGTTTTAGGTAATATCTGACTATACCAGTTCCTGTTCAACCAGCAGTTTTATATACCAAACTATAAAATACTACACCGGACCATACCAGAATAGTACCAGACGATACCAGATTATACAAAAGACTATACAAGACTATACAAGACTATACCAGCATAATCCGGACTAAACCAGACTATATCAGACTATTTAAGACTTTACAACACTATACAAGACTATACAAGACTATTCCAGCCTATACCAAACTATATCAGAATATTCCTGCCTATACCAGACTATATCAAACTATTCAAAACTATAAAAGACTATACAAGACTATACAAGACTATACTAGGCTATACCAGACTACCTATTCCCGTAAACCTATGGGACATTAACGATATATTTCTCTCTAAGTATTAGCATTAAAGTCTGCTTCCCCCCCCCCTCATTTCTTCATCCAATGTGACTATCTATCTATTATAACCTAACCCTACTTAACCTTCATAGAATAGGGTGTATCGTGGAAACATCTCACCAATAAAAGAAAAATATTAAAATTGCAGAAATAATTATTATTAAAAATCAGCCTGAATTTGAAAGAGATAAAATTTGTTAAAAGTTATTTTCTAATAAGCAACAACCCAAAGCTTTTGTTTTCAATGAGTGAAACTGTTAATAGCTCTCAATTCTTTGATTTTATCCTGGAAATTTAATAAAACTAATTAACCTAACTAACTTAACCAACCTAACTAACCTAGAGAACAAGGGATAGAATTCTAATTCTTATCTTTTAGAAACACAAGCAATAGAAACCAAAAGTTCAGAAAAGCAAAAATGTGTATGTATATTATTTCGATCAAATTTTGAAATTTTGTTTAAATTGAATCACAGAATCACAGAAAACTTTTAAAATAATAATGATAAAATTCGCAATTTTCAGTTCTGGTCTAATTTTAATTAAAAGTACTTTAAATCCTCTGTAGTTCATTTCTTGCGAATTTTCTTATTACAGTTTTGCGAATTTTATGTGATTCTGCAATTGAATATTTATAAAATTTTGGAAGTGGAAAGAAATAATATATATACACATTTTTGCTTTTCTTAACATTTGATTTTGAGAGAAAAAAAGATAAACTATATTAAATATACAATAGAAAATCTTCTGAACTTATTTTAAATAAGAAATATGTATATATTTATAAATAAGCAGTATTATTAAATAANTAAATAAATAAATATCCTTGTTAAGGTTCCTGGTTTTCTTGATACTGAACTAGATGAACTCTATCCAACACAATATTATCAGAGTTTAAACTCAGTTCTCAAAATAGAAGTTGCTCGGTTTAATTCTTTACTCAGGTATATCTATTATTTATTTTATATATGAGAGTTTAGAACTTTTGACCATGCAATAGCGCTAAGCCAAAAAATTAAGATTATACAATATAGAAACTTAGATATGATAAACAGACAAGAATTATTATTTTATTATTTTTTCACTCTAGGCTTGTGACTATGTCTCTGGAAGATCTTAGGTCAGCTCTGAGAGGAGAAATTATCATGTCATTGGAGATAGAAGATACTCTTAACAGTGTTATCAGGTAGCACGCATTGATTGAAGATACTCTTAACAGTGTTATCAGGTAGCAAGCATAGATAGAAGATACTCTTAACAGTGTTATCAGGTAGCAAGCATAGATTTTCTATCAGCTGTTCTGCATACACAGCCTCATATAGATACACCACAGGAGAATATTATAGATAACGACATTGCTTCTGTTGTTGATAATCTTCTAACTAAAGTAAGTTTCAAGTTTTTTTTTTCTTTTTTAACAATTTAATAGTTCTTAAAGGAATGGATTCTTTACACAAACTTGAATTTACTTATCCCTATAATTTTGCAACCTATTGTTGTACGCCTTAGATATTCTAATTTTAGTTTATGTGATCCAACATAATTTATAATTTGAAATATCTAAGATATACGACATTTCGGTGAAAAGATGTGGGGATTAGAAAAGGAGAGTTTGTGGCCTTTACTCAACTCCTTCAGTATCACGGGCAGTCGTGGTACATTTGAATTTCCAAGCCGGGTCAACCTTTCCGGTCCGGTCCCAGTTTGTACTGTATTGCCCGGACATTGGGTAAATAAGGCAGACATTTAATAGGACGAGCCCATGACTAGCCGGTGCAACAAGGTTGATACTGTCAGACTTTGGGTTGAATTTACTTTTAGTTAAATGGTCAGAGGTATGTGGTATCCACTGGTCCGCTTGGAAGTTTTATCTTTAGGGTTAAAATTTGAAGCAAATCGATAGAGGGGTTCTGAAATACACAAAGATAAACAAACAGAGATTAATATATAAATTATGTCATGTTTTATAAAAATGTATTTTTGGTAGTGTTTATGTCAATTTCATTAAGAAAGTTTTTGATTAGTTAGTTATATAAGACGAAAAAACTACTAAATATTTTTCATATTGAAATTGCAAAAAAAAAATCAACAAATATTTTAAAANATACTCTTAACAGTGTTATCAGGTAGCAAGCATAGATAGAAGATACTCTTAACAGTGTTATCAGGTAGCAAGCATAGATAGAAGTTACTCTCAATAGTGTTAAATGACATGAATTTAGCATGATTTCATGATTTTAGATTCTCTAATAGAAGAATAGAATGACAGCTAACTTTTTCCATCACTTTTTCATATACATTTTTATCAAAAATATATCTAAGGACAGGGCCTATTGAGTTTTTCTTTTGATCATAAAAATTTAATTTAATTTATAACTACTCAGTCAGATATTATAATCGAATTAAATTTGATGCATTCGTTCATAGTAAATATTTCATAACATTTTTTTTAATCAACATTTCACTCAAAACTTGTTTTCACGGCTGGCGCTGGATTTTCGAACATTCCTGGAAAATATGAAAATGTCGTCTTCATACTCGTGAATATTTTCAAAAGCAACACTCAGTAAATATAGAATAAAAATATTTTAAAATATCAACTGATATATAAGAGTACATCGAATTGAATTCGAAAATTGTAGGTTGTAATATCTTAATGGATAGTTTTAAATCTAATGAATAGATTAAGTCTCAAAGCCGTCTTCCTATTTCACAGTTTGAAGGGTCCTGCTGTATTTAAAATTTTAATTAAAAAATGATTAAAATACCCAGGAGCAGTGTTCCCTGTTCTTGGTCAAAGATATCCTACAAGAGTGAGTTCCCTCTGTCAGAATATCTAAATAATCTGGTTTCCAGGTAAATCAATATTTACTGTTTTACAGGGTGTCCAAATAAACATGATATTTTAGATAACATTAAGATAGTTTTTTATTCTAATCTTGAAATAGTCAAGTTTCCTGTGCTTTCTTAAATTAGGGCTAACTTCTTTCTATTTCAAAGACTAACGGAGTTGAGCAAATTTAGATTTTTCCAAAAATTTAAATCAGACTTTAATTTTTTTGTACATTTTGAAGATACGAAAGTTTCAGAGCAGTTTTATAAATTCCAAGACTAAGAGATTTTGCTTGTTATTGTTTTAATTGGCATACTAGTATTATTACTGTGTTCACGTACGTATGTCACGTAGGTCAAAGAAAATATAGAAGTAATCACTGAATTTCTATTTTCTAAGAGACACCCTGCATATATTCAATGATAAATGATATATCAATAATTGTAAACGACGATTGAATCGAATGCTTTCCTGACAAGCTTAATTGCATCAGGAATCTGAAGAAATAGTGTTTACATATTCATCAGTGTAAAGGAATTGAGTCTTTGCCACAATCTCAAATTTTCATATTTTCATATCCATATATTTGCAATTTCATGATTTAAACCTTTAATATTTCAAGCTTAGATTATTTGCTCTTATCGAATTTATAGTTTGAAATATCTGAGGCTGACGACACTGAGTTGCAAAACTATAGGGATTAGAAAATCAGAGTTTGAGGCAAAAACTAAATTCCTTAAAAATTGAGTAAGATAGAGAGTATTTTTATATAGTCTCAATTTATAGTGCAGAAACCCTTTATTAAGTGAAATAAGTCTTTGAACAAGGCATATCTGCTGTGTAGTGTGTGTATAATAAGGCTAGTTTTTATCCTACTTAAGTGAGCGGGGGAAGGCAGGCGGCCATGGCCACAACATTTTTCCCTTCTATATGATAGCTTTTTTGTCTCCCGGTAGCCATGAGCCACAACGGTACAGTCTTCCATGCCAGAGCATTTGAGACTTCCAGAAGCTATTTTTTAAATAATAAATTTAGTGCATTGAAATTGTGATTTCCAAACATCCAGGCATGTCATGCAATAGATATAAATAATGTTTTAAATTGAAATAATGACCATTCCTTTTAATGTAAACCGCTAAACTTATTTCCCACCAAAATTAATTCAATCTCTCCTCTAAAATGGATAATTTTGAAAACATTATGAACAATAAAATTTATGCACCATAGTATACTCTTAAAGTTCAAAGGGCCCATAACCTAAAATTTGCACTATTTAACGAGAAAATTTTAAATTAGATTTTTTTGAGGACATTTGTAACGCTCAGGTAATGACAATTAATATTGTGATTTTTCTCATCTTTTCTTATTCTTTAGATAACCCCAATCAGTTTGTGCCCAAAATGCGTAAAATGATGTAAAATTATCTTTGTATAATGTAAAGCAGTTTATAAACTGAACACAGAATTAATTGATCTTTAATAAATTTCTCAAATTTCTTAAAGGTATAATCTTTCGGGTATAAAATGACAGGATTACAAGAATTGCTACTTCAATGCACTAAATTTATCATTTCAAAACTTAATAACTGCCGGAAGACTCAAATGTTGTGGCATGAAAGGGGGTATAGGCTTTTAATGCGATAAATAAGCGCTTTTGATCGCTACTAATCTTACTTCTATCTGTTGCGTCTATAAGGTGAAAATTAATAAAGACGTCACATACCGAAGAGCGTATTGCCCATACAAATTGAGGAAGTTGGAACATACGACTTGGATCGTAAAACAATCAAATTAATATCAAACAAATCATTCAGATATTAAAACCTATAGTCATCGATTATCTTTCGCCACATTTGTATATAGTTGATTTTTCATAATATGTTTTAATTGTTATGATCTGAGAGTTACTTATAAAAACTTTATTCCTGTTTCGAGGGTTTTTGGTAATGAAGACGACATTTTCATATTTTCAAGGAATGTTCGAAAACAAGTTTTAAGCTAAATATTATTTAAAAAATAAAAAAAAATCAAAACTATAGTATGAAATATCAAATAAATACAAATGTTGCGAAAGATAATCGATGACCATAGGTTGTAATATCTGAATGATTTCTTTGAAATTAAATTGATTTTTTACGGTCTGAGTCGTATGTTGAAATTTTCTCAATTTGTATGGGCGCTAAATTATTCGGTATGAGACGTCTTTAACAATTTTCTCCTTATAGACGCAACAGATAGAAGTAAGATTGGTAGCGATCAAAAGCGCTTTTTTATCGCATTAAGCCTATACCCCTTTCATTTTTCACAAACACTCCCTTTAATGTAAATAGCAAATATATTAAATCTTCTAAATAGTTGACAAAAATATTTTAGGGTATATAGAGCTGACAAAATTTATAAATGAAACTGCATGTTTGACTAACGGCAATAACGGCATATATGTAAATAGTTTTATTATCAACTAATTTAACATATTTCTTATTTTGTACAGTCAATCCCAGATATATGAATACAATGCAAGAGTTGTTTATAATGTCGTATTCTCAACATTTTAAAGAACAAGTGGCGCGGAAAAACTAGTTTAACTCTAAACGGGGGGGGGCGTTTAGCGCCCCCTGTAGCTTTTTTTTTGTCCTAGTACTCTCATTTTTGACTCTATCACTGTGAAGTTGTGACTTTTAATGAAAAGTAATTTAAAGGATTTTTTGTTAAAATATTTTTATTTTATTTACAGGGCGGAAAAAAGTCCGTTCCGTGATAAAAAAAATCTGAAATATCCCTATAACTTTTTTGTGACTAAAGCTACAGATCTAAAAACTAGATTTTTCAAAAGCACTTGAAAAATGCAATGTAGAAACACGTGTCACACTTAATATTTGTTGAAAAAAAAAAAAAAAATTTTCTCACCTTTTTAGACATTTTTTTCCACTTTCCCTCGCACCCAAACTTTAAAAGTTATCGGTCTAATTTTTTTTCCTTTGAGCTGGCCATGAAATTGTGCTATGAACACGCATTTCAACCCTATACCTATTCTCTAAGGCCTTTTCCTGGGGAGGCGCAATGCCCCCTAGGCTATACATAGATTCAGACCCCCCAGCCTTGATAGGGTTAAAATATCAATTGTTGTGCTGCATATTTCAGGGCTATTTACGTACCTTGAATTCAAAATAAAACCAGATTCTTAAGAATTATCTAAACAATAATGACTCTCTGCAAGGATATTTGGATATATCTCAATAAATAGTATTTTAGATTAGATTGGATAAAGAACTGGATAAAAAATGGAACTCCACAAGTTTTCTGGTTTTCAGGATTCTACTTCCCTCAATCCTTTCTATCTGCAGGAACTGTTCACTGTACACTGTACACTACACACTGTACATTGTACACTGTACACTATACACTACACACTGTACAATGTACACTATACACTACACACTGTACACTGTACACTATACACTATACACTACACACTGTACACTGTACACTGTACGCTGTACACTGTACACTATACAATTTATGCTGTACTTTATACACTGTACTCTATAAATTGTACTTTTTATACTTTACACTAATGGTGCTGTACACTATACACTACACTGATTTACACATGTCTCCAATAAGCTCTGCATTTCTCTAGATCTATGCAGGGTTACCCAAAAAGGATGAGACTTCAGAGATTGCACCGCATTTGTTTTTGTCCGTTTTCTTGCGTTCAGGGTTTCTTGTAGGCTAAAACTGGCTCATTTCTGTGCTTTATCCTTTAGTTAACCATCAAAATACTCAATTGATTACTGAAACCAAAATCAAGCTTTAAATCGTAATATTTTTGGAGTTTTGGGTCGTCTTCACAGTCTCATCCTTGTGGGTAACCCTGTATGTAGAAATTTGAATTTTGTTTATTTCTGGATTTATATTCCATATTATCAGTTTACAGTGTACACGTTACAGTTCTCCAAAACTACGCTAGAGGGAAGAATGTTCCTGTCGAAAAAACTAGATTTCAATTCAAGATTCTGAAAAAAGGTAAAAAAATCTAAAAATTGCTTTGGTATGAATAGGTTTTTTAAAATTTATTTTTAAGATCAATGTTGTAATAAGAGAGGGTTTAGAGTCGAAGAGGGAAGAGGGGTTGTATAAAAATCGTTAAGTCCCATGTTTATTGGGACACCTTGCATACTCTGGATGTGAACAATTGATATAGGAGTTTTGAATGCAGGAAAGGGGGGAGGGGGGTGTAGGTAAATTATAGTATCGGAAAAGATAAATTCTCCAAAAAAAATATGCAATTATTTTATCGATAATTATTCTTTTCGTTTTGGTTTAATGGTGTCAGATTTAGTATTATAGTTGACTTTTGATAAATTTATTATATTTGGTTTATTTATTAGGAGAAGATATATTGGAGGGGGAGACAGGCATCAGTGGTCTCTTCCTAGAAGGAGCTAGATGGGACCATGAGGTATATATAAACATGGTTTGTTTGTTTTAAAATTTTGAAATCCACAAACTCTATCATTGAAAACAGGAACACTCGCAAACTAATTTTGTAAGAAAATTTTCGCGAATTTTAGATCAGAAGTTTTCGAAATTCGCGATTTTTTGATGAATTTCGTTGGACACTTTTGTTAGACGTTTAACGAAATTTCGTCATCCATAAAATTTCGTTGGAAAACTAAGATACATCAGCCATAAAAAAGCTGGGAAGAGCCATCATACGCTTTTTATTTCGATTAACTTGAATTACACAATTTATTTTTAAAAACACTGAAAAAGTGCACCCTATGACTTTTTATATCTACAATCTATCCCAGCCTAACCTAGCAAATGAAAAGCAAATTCGAAGGAGGGTTTTTTGTTTTTGAATGGGGTAGGTCCAGTACAATTTCGACAGATCCATGGGGGGGGGGGGGTTATAGAACGGAAACCGAAACCTCCTATCCATCTAATTAAATACAATGTTATAGAAACATGAGTTGGTTGAGAGCAATGCTATGGTTCGGTATACTCAGTTACCAACTGTTATTCTCATCCCTACACAATTAGAAGACGACATTAAGAGTACACAAGTAGAAGACGACATTAAGATAACAGAATACAGGTTTAAAACAATTATAGTTATATATTCATTAAGTATACGATTCAGCACAATAAAACACGGAGTTTACATTGATATACAATATTTGATTAAATCTTGATACAAGGATTTCCACAATCGCAAAGGATGAGATTGTAAAAACAAACTAATGCCGATCCCATGGTTGAATTAATACTTCTGCCTTAAATTATAGTGTATTATATGATTTAGCAAAGAAAGAAACATATTCATGTAGGAAATTGTGATTGTAAGGAAATAGACAGTATAAAGTCTCTTCGGTGTTGGTAACCTTTTAAATTCATTCTTGATAGAAGACGACATTAATTTTAAATAAAAAGCGAGTTTTCAATTTGATTTTATACTGTATATGCATTATGCATTTGCTTTTCTTAAGCCACTACTGCAGTGGTCGACCATAGGACGTATTCGATTGTGTACGTCGGTAATACCCATCCATCAAATATATAAGAATACAGAAGCCAAACAATTGTTCGTCTTTAAGTACGTCAATATAGGATCAACTTTATTCTGGGCACAATGGACTTTGTATTAAAAGTCTAAAATGATTACAATTTTATATAAATATTTACCCTGTTTCAAATTCTAAGAAAAGACGACATTTAATGTACCTTACGTCTAGTACAATACCTTCTTCTTCTTTTCAAAGACGGAGCATACTACACTAAATGTTTAAAACTATTTTTTTTAGTATATTTACAATTTCTTCTTATATTCTTTTAGCAGAAGACGACATTACGAGTACTAGCTACATGAATAGATGGGGAGGGGGGGGGGGGGTTGCAAGCTTTGCTAGATACAAAACTACAGTCGAATTTGTTTATAGGTTTTAAGCAACATACTATTAACTATTGAGAACATATTGATGCTTATGATGAATCTAAAAATAATATGGTAATGAACTTCACGTCCCATATTATTTAGTTCTGCTCAATTTGTTCAGTTTCATTTCCCAATATCTAAAATATGTTTATACGTATACCATCTATCCTATCCATCCCATTTATTCATAGTACATGGTGTACATATACCATCTATTCATGGTACATGATGTACATAAACCACATATCCTATCCATCCCATCATTTAATGGTACTTGGTGCACATATCCTATGCATTCCATCTATTCATGGTACATGGTGTAAATGATTAAAATATACCATCTATGTTATACATGATTAATATCCTGTTTTCCAGGTGTCCTGTGTACATGACTGCAGGGAGACAAGGAGAGGATAATACTGCTGGTAAATTATAAAGATTTTCAGGATTATTAAATACCCCCCNCCCCCCTCTAACATTTATAGTTTTTCGATACATATGTTCGATTCCTATAGTCTAGTAATGAGTACTTTTAACAAAGCTGATATTTACAAAATCTTAAAAAGGTAAAAGACTGTTTATTGTTAATACCTTTCCTTTTCTTTTCAATTAAAACTGAAACAACCAACCATAGTGTTTACAATTTATAAATTAGATTAAAAGAAAATTTTTCAATTTAACATGAAAACATTGAAAATTGTGTTTTTATTTTTACATGTTGCTTGATATTTCTTACTCAGTATTTCTTTCTGTAATCATGTTAATCTCAAATTCTGTTTTCATTTAGTTTCTTGTTTTTTTTAAATCTAAAAACACGGTGTTTAACGAATTTTTAGAGTTTACTAGAAAACGCAAATTATTTGACATGCTTATAAATTAATGTTTTTTTCTAGGTCACTCCTCTAATTACATATTCAGCATTAACCTTGCAACATCTCTACCTATCTCGCACTGGATTAACCGGGGAGTTGCAGCTATTTGTCAAGTTCAAACTTAACAATATTACCACTAGATGGAGCTCCAGCTATTTGTCAAGTTCATACTTAAAAGTATTACCACTAGATGGAGTTGCAGCTATTTGTCAAGTTCAATATTAACAATATTACCACTAGATGGAGTTGCAGCTATTTTTCAAGTTCAAACTTAAAAATAGTGCCGCTAAATAGAGTTGCAGCTATTTGTCAAGTTCAAACTTAAAAATATTACCGCTTGATGGATTTGCAGCTATTTGTCAAGTTCAGACTTAACAATATTACCGCTAGATGGAGTTGCAGCTATTTGTCAAGTTCAAAATTGACAATATTACCACTAAATGGAGTTGCAGCTATTTGTCAAGTTCAAACTTAACAATATTACCGCTAGATGGAAATGCAGCTATTTGTCAAGTTCAAACTTAACAATATTACCGCTAGATGGAGTTGCAGCTATTTGTCAAGTTCAAAATTGACAATATTACCGCTAGATGGAGTTGCAACTATTCGTCAAGTTCAAACTTAACAATATTACCGCTAAATGGAGTTGCAGCTATTTGTCAAGTTCAAACTTAACAATATTACCGCTAAATGGAGTTGCAGCTATTTGTCAAGTTCAAACTTAAAAATTTTACCGCTAGATGGATTTGCAGCTATTTGTCAAGTTCAAAATTAACAATATTACCACTAGATGGAGTTGCAGCTATTTATCAAGTTCAAACTTTTCATTAAGAATGTAATTGTTTAACAATATTATTGTAGTTTTTATAGCTTGTCAATATTATTGTTAAACAGTTTTAATTGCTTAACAATATTATCATTAGAAAGTACATTTTCTTAAAAGGTTGCCCTTCGATAAATTTCATTGTTTTACAATATTATTGTTCATCAATTTTCATTGCTTAACAATTTATTGTTAAACAGTTTTTTTTGCCTCGTTAAATGCAGGTTTTTAATCCTTTGCAAAAATATTGTAAAATGAATTCACTAAGTTGTAAGTGAATAAATTAATGTAGTGTGTAATTTTAATGCTTAAGTCAATTTATAAAATATGAACACACTTTTAGAAAGAGATACATGAATAGAATACATTGTTTTTGTACGGGGATAATCGGCTGGTTCTAAATTTCCATTTGTATTTTAATGTTTAATGTTTTAATGTTTTATATCTATTTATCTGCTTATACATCTATTTTTTTAACTATATATCTATCTATCTATCTATCTACCTACCTATCTATCTATCTATCTTCATTTATCTATTCATCTCTCTGTCTATCTGCTTATCTATACATCTATTCATTGATAAAGCTATTTATCTATCTACTTATCTATCTATCTATCTATCTATCTATCTATGGAAGGAACAGTGATGTTTCCAGATCAAAGTTCAGATTTGACAAAACATACACTTCTTCATTTTTACAGAGGACAAAGGACACACACGTCATACACAATATAATCTTACATATGTATTCAGAGAATCAGAAGTTGGGTTGCTCCGTAGGGCTGGGCAAAATTCCGTTTACGAAACAGTTTGTCGTTGTTAAACAAGATCTAATCTGATCTATTTAAAATACGTAGAACAGCCTCGATAAATGATCGAAATTATGCTTTAATGCATTTGCTGTAAATAGGGACGGATCGTTTCCACTATTTTGAAAAATGGTCGAAATTATCGTTCAAAAAACGGTATGTTTTCGTTTTTAAGTTTGGTCTTTTTTAAAACGATCTTTTTAAAAACGAACCCTTGTTGACGACCGGTAACGACAACCCTTTGTTAACGAAGTTAATGACGATGCTTCGTTAACGACCTTTTAAATATACAGTATACAGTTTTGGTCGGAAAATCAAAGGTCGGATTATATTCATTTTGCCTCAATTAAAAAAAACATTTAAGACAACATTCATAAGCTTATCTCCCTAAAAAATCAGAATGAATTGTCAAAAAACTCAGATTCATTAGCGAATAAAAAATACAATTTTTTCGTTTTATAAAATTCAAAACGAGTGGTGCGTTTTCAAAAACGATCGTTTTTTTCAAAACAACCCTAGCTGTAAAGATATTGAGTCTGCAACAAATCCCAATTTTCTAATAACAATATCTTTACAAACAGATGATATTTGATATTTCAAACTTAAAGAAAAAGGTGCATAAGAATTCACAATCACCAATCAAATAAATTCAAATATTTGCGCCTTATTTCATATCTTATGTTATATATTCTTCAATATATTTATATATTTGTGTAATCCTTCTAAAAATAATTAATAAAAAATAAAATATCAAAAATTAAACATAAAGGTTGCACAACTAAACGCCCGTTAAAAGGATATTTGAAAACACCATAACACTTTTAAAAGTCGATTTTACACAATTTGAAAATACAAATCTAAAATCACCAATCAAATAAAATCAAAATGTAAAATACATTTTTTGGACATTTGAAAATATTTACATTTTATTTAATTCTTTATGTTGTATATACTTTAATATAGTTCATCTATCAGCAAGCCTTTTCATACAGTTTGTATTAATATCCCTATTAAAGTAAATTCGCAGATTTTCCTGTTAATATTTGTGGGTTAAAAAATTAAGGTAAAATTTTCTTTTTCTGATACAAAATTTGGGCCTGATCGGTTTAAACATTTGCACTTGCTATACCCTATCCTGCACTGTAGTTCCTAGACGGTAGATTAAAAAGTTAAATTTAAAGTATTTACAGTGTAGATTCTACACCATAGTTTAAGGATACATGATCCGTTAACCCTGTAACAGTTGGATTGCATTGCAAGCAGTTTATAAAGGAAGGGGAGGGGGATTAGCAAGGTTATAATGCAAGGACAGTTATTTCAGAGGTGTACGCATCTATTGTACTGCAGTGCACTGTCTCTAGGCGGTAATGTAAACACAAGACGGATGTCGAAACCTGACATCTCACATAAAAAAATCAATGAAATATTCTGGTCATAGAAAACTATTATGTGAATTATCAAAATCAGCAAAATGTAATGCTTTTAACTCCTCGGATACGAAACGTACAGTGATGCATATATTCTTGTTTACAAATTCCACCCAGAGCCCAAAACTTAAGACAGGGCATCGTTATGAAAACCCATTCGTGAAACCCGGGTGAATATCAGTATTTTTGTAATGAAATATTATTTTTTTCAGTTTGTTTATATTCTCCATTTTTTTTCGAATATCTTAAATCAAAATCTACACAAATTCCCAACCATCCCCATACCATCACCAAACCATCTCCAAACAGTAACTAAACCTTCACAAACCCTTCACAAAACCATCACAAAAACCATCCACAAACCATCACCCGACCGTCACCCAACCATCACACAACCATCACCAAATCATCACCCAACCATCACCGAACCGTCACCAAACGATCCAAACCATCACAAAACCATCACCAAACTATTCAAACCATTACTTAACCGTCTCTAGGTGAATGGGTGAAAAAAAAACACCAACTAAAATATTAAGATACAAAAGAGTATCGACATGTAGAGAGAATACATAGAATACACATTAGAAATATCAAATAGTTTTATGAAGAGAATTAACCAGTATAAGAGAGATAATTATCAAATTATGCAATCCAAGAAACCCTGATTTTATCCAAAGAAAGAAAAAATTATGCTTTAAAGTTTATTTGCTAGTATTTAGTGACATAACACACATTATTCATAAAAAAGCAAGGAGTTCTGGGCAGCCAGAAAGAGGGAGATCTGAGATCTGCTAAAAGGCAAAAAGGTTTGGGATCTCCTAAAAGGCAGGAAGGTTTGGGATCTCATAAAAGACAGGGAAATCTGGGATCTCCTAAAAGGCAGGGAGGTCTGGGATCTCCTAAAAGGCAGAGAGGTCTGGGATCTCCTAAAAGGCAGGGAGGTCTGGGACTTCCTCAATTAGACAATCTCCGGCTCCGTATGTGAACACGTTCATGTACCCACACCTTGGGATTTCCATACTCAACTGTACACTGTGCACTGTGCATACATACAGTACGCACTACAGTCCGTACAAGTATAAAGCTGTACTTTTATAATTTAAAAACTAAAATTTGCAAAATAAAACACTTTTCTAAAAATTGCAAATTCAAACTGGTTTTAAATATTGAGCATGGTTCCTGGCAATATGATTGGTTGAAGTAAAGGGAGCTGTGCCTCCAATAGATCCAGTACATTCTTCCTAATAATAACAAAACTTTGTACTTTTTTCTAAAATAGTTCAATTTTTTTCAAAACTTCTAAAATGAAAATTTTATAACTTTGAAATTTTTCTCTGATGGATTTACAAATCATTCGTAGGTATTTTTGGAGGACCATTTTGTGAAGTTCTACAATAAATAAGACTTGATTGGTTCAGCTGTTTGGATATTTATTGGATTTAGGACGTGCACTAAAGCCAGCCAAGCCAAATATTTAGATAGTTTGTTTAACCTGGTCTACTGCAGGTTCTCCAGTTTCTCCTCCAAGAGTATAAATTGTATTGAACTCAAACCAACCATTCTGGTAAATAAAACAAATAAAAGTTATAAAGCTTTAGCCCTATCCCTGCTGGGGATACGCTGGGGGGAGGGGGGGTCAATTTGACCAATTTTACCAAAGGGGGGGTCAAATTGACCCCCACCCCCAGCAGGAATAGGGTTAATCTTTAATGTTTGAAAGTAAAGTTGTATTTTTTACAAAATGGATTTCTTCCATGATTTGATACAGTATCCTTCCATTTTGGATGTTCCATCATTTTCAGTTGAAGGCATTTCATTTCATCCCCATTTATAGAATAGTATGTCAAATTAACAAAAATACCCTGTAAAGCTTTGTCAGACCAAGAAAGAATGGAGGAAAATGTCATAATTAAACTTGAATATGATCGACAATATCTTGCACAAATTGATAATTGAAATAACCAATGTTGTTGACAGATAACAGCAACACGCTAGACAAATCCGGATAATAGGCCGGTTAGGATTTTGAAAGGGGTGTTTATTANCTGAGTTTGACTGCAGTCCATTTCCATAACTACAAACCTGAGTTTGACTGCAGTCCATTTCCATAACTACAAACCTGAGTTTGACTGCAGTCCATTTCCATAACTACAAACCTGAGTTTGACTGCAGTCCATTTCCATAACTACAAACCTAAGTCCGACTGAAGTCCATTTCCATAACTACAAACCTGAGTTTGACTGCAGTCCATTTCCATAACTACAAACCAATAGTGTTCTCCAAATGTATTTGGAGCGTAGTAATGAGAGTTTGTTTCATCATTTGTAGTCCAAGCTCCTGGAGTACCCATTGCCTAATCACAAAATAGTATTGAGTGTTTAAATTTGAGTGTTCAGAGTTCATTGTTCAATGTTCAGTATTCACCGTTCAGTGTTCAGTGTTCAGTGTTCAGTGTTCAGTGTTTAGTGTTCAGTTTTCATTGTTCAGTATTCAGTATTCAGTGTTCAGTGTTCAGTGTTCAGTGTTCGGTGTTCAGTGTTCAGTGTTCAGTGTTCAGTGTTCAGTATTAAGTTTCATTATTCAAGATTAAGTGGTCAGAGTTCATTATTCAATGTTCAATGTTGAGATTTACCTCCCATTCTTCATCTGGATTTTCTGGATTGGGAGCTGCTCCTTGTCCAGGCTCTGCTCCATCCCAGTCTAGATGATCATCTCCATCCCTGATACACCAAGCAACACATTCAAATAATATTTTCTTTTATCAATTATATTTTAAACTACATAGCTGAACAACCCAGCATTTCCCAGGTTTATATCATTATTCATATAGTATAGTTACTCCATCCGTTTACATATCTTAACTAAAGTGCCCGGTATTGATTGTTGAATTTAAGAGCATATCATTAAAGAGCATTATTATATCAATATATAGGAGCGAAGAGCATTAATATATATATATATAGATGGAAAGATTGTGAAAAAACATACTTACATCCAAAACTGATATTTGTCCCAGATCACTGCAAAATAAATTTAGTTATCTCTGTAATAATCTAAAATTCAAAATATATTGTGAAGACAAGAAAACATATTATTAACCTGGAAATGAATGAAGTGAAATATCTATCTGTTGATCTGGTGCTACACCACCAATGATGAATAGATCACTACCAATCACAGTTTGCTTCTTGATTGCAACAATAGTGGTAGCAACACCTCCAGGTCCAGGTCCATCCGTTGGTTTAGGTGTTCCAGTTGTAGGTCCATTGGTAGTCCCATCAGTAGGTCCTTATAAGTATTAATTATGAAACCGAGCAACATATACATACTTCCATTTACTGATAGCACCGATTGAAGGATTCATATCTCTAATTGGATATTGAGTAGATAGAAAGAAAGATGTTACCGCCATACTATTTAAATTGGTTCAGAATAGATAACAAACACATGACTGAACCCTAATTGGATCAGGCGCTAATGGATTCGGCATACAGGAGTGGCAAAAGCACCCTCAGTACTCTTCAGAGTACTTAGTATGATGTTATACAGCAGAAGAAACCGACATCACCACATATTAAAGAGTTTGTACTTAACACGCTTCAGAGTACTGAGTATGATGTTATAAAGCAGAAGAAACCGACATTTCCACGTATTAAAGAGAATGTACTTAACACTCTTCAGAGTACTGAGTATGATGTTATGCAGCAGAAAAAAACGACATTTCCACATATTAAAGAGTTTGTACTTAACACGCTTCAGAGTACTGAATCGTTAGAAATCGGGAAGGGTCAGATTAGGGTTTCCAATCGGCATTCCGTTGCGCGGAATTGCGAAAAAGGAAGCAATTAAATATTCGCGGAATCGCACGGAATTGTGTGGAATTTCGCGGAATTGCACGGCATTGCGCGGAATTGCGCGGAATTGCGCGGAATTGCGTGCATCTGAATTGCTTTTCAATCAATCATTTTAACTGTTCGACTTACAAATTCATGCAGCAGATACAAGAATGGAAACTTTTTTTGAAATGGTCAGATGCTTACAATCATAGTCCTTTTAAGGTCACTATGAGAGGATTTAAGATGAAATAGATGTAATCAAAGTAAAATATCAAGTTATTTAGGAATTACAAAATAAAATCATGTTCAAATACTCAATTAGGGAGACTGATAGTTTTCTGATATGATATTTAAAATGTGATTTGTGATATTGAATAGTAATGCATATCTACCTGATGGAGTAGGTTGGTCCCCTGAGCAGGATATGGATAAAGTTGTATCTTCTATCCAACCTTCAGGATGCATAAACTCCCATCCTGATTTCATCTTAGTAGGACAATCAGCCTCATTCTCATTACTGTATACAGAATACACTTGACATAGCGCCCAATCAAACAGTTAATTTTAATCATTTTTCTTATTCTGAAAGGAACTTAAATACGTAATCTAAAGTACTGAACATATTTTTATTTCAGTTTTGGTTTCTCTTTAAGAGTAAATTGTGGATTTATGTTGCAGAGACAATGAAGGAAATTGTCAGAATTGGCCATGTTTAACATGTTTTTCTCACTATTGTATCTTGTAGGTAAATAAAACCTGATATATCCAAAGTGTGCATCATTTTCTTCTGTTATCATCCAACCCTCCCACTTGTATTGAGCATCTGAAAACAATGGTATAATGAAGATTTCCCCTGATTACTAACTTACCAATATGGTATAATGAAGATATCCCCTGATTACTAACTTACCAATAGTATAATAAAGATTTTTCCTGATTACTAACTTACCAATGGTATAATGAAGATTTCCCCTGATTACTAACTTACCAATGGTATAATGAAGATTTTCCCTGACTACTAACTTACAAATGGTATAATGAAGATTTCTCCTGACTACTAACTTACCAATGGTATAATGAAGATGCATTTCAGTTTGAAGAACAGTCGAATGCTTGTACAAAGGTCTACCATTTTCTTCCCCTATTAAACAAGAGCAATATATCAATTAAAATATTATCTTAAAATTATATTTTAAAAAATTTACCTATTTTGATATACTTCCCAAGAAGTTCTGGATAGTTTTCTAAAACTCCTAAAGTTTTTATATTTAATTAGAAACCAAGCCAATGTATTTATTCTGAAAATATGTCAAAAATAATTTCTTTTATATCTGTATTTTGGCATTGGGAAAATGCACAAATGAGATTAGATGATAACTTTTTTTATAAAAATTCTCAAATAGAAACCGAGCATTAGGGGTAATATTCAGCCACTACGTCCATTTCGTTGGGAGAGTACCAAACTTTCATTGGAGACCCTGTTTTATCATTGGAGACCCTAAGTATTTCATTGAGACCCCATATTTTCGTTGCTGACCCAAAATTTTCATTTGAGACACCCATATTTTTATTGGAGACCCCTTATTTTCGTTATAGACCCCAAACTTTCATTGGAGACCCCCATCTTTACATCGGGACCTCAAGATTTTCATTAGACACGCTACTTAATTCCTTTGAGACCCAAGATTTTCTTTCGAGAAATCCAGATTTTCATTGGAGACCCCCAGATTTTGATTGGAGACTCCCAGATTTTCTTTGGAGACCACCAGAGTTTCAATGGAGACCTCATGATTCTCATTGGAGCCCTCCACATTTTCATTAGATACCCCCAGATTTTAATTGGAGACCCAATAATTTTGTTGGAGATCACCAGATTTTCATTTAAGACCCCCAGATTTTTATTGGAGACCCAAGATTTTTATTGGAGACCCCAGATTTTTATTTGAGTAAGACCCCCAGATTTTTATTGGAGACCCAAGATTTTTATTGGAGACCCCAGATTTTTATTTGAGACTTCCAGATTTTCATTGGACCCCCCCCAGATTTTCATTAGAGACCCAGATTTTACTGAGAGACCTCATTATTTTCATTGGAGACCCCCAAATTTTGATTGTAGACCCCAAACTTTTCATTATTGGAGACCCCAGTTTTACGCAAGAGACCCCCAACTTTCCGTTGCAGACCCCAGATTTTCATTGGAGATCTTACGAAATTCGTTGGAGACCGCCGATTTTCTCTGGAGACCTCCATATTTTCATAAGAGAACCCCATAATTTTTTTGGAGACCCAGAATCGGGCTTTTAAAAAAAAAGTGGGGACTTGAAAACGAAAAGTATGGGATCCCGAAAGAAAAAATTGAGGTCTCCTGCGAAAAGTTTGATTTTTCATTGAAATTATTTGGGGTCTTCAATGAAAATCTTAAGGTCTCCAATGAAAATTACGGGTTTAAGACAAAAATTTTGAGTCTCAAAGAAAATCTGAGGTCTCAAATGAATTTATTTGGGTCTCCTATGAAAATCTGGGGGTCGGTAACAAAAATATGGGGTCTCAATTTAAAGCTTGGGGTCTCCATTGAAAAGTTTGGGCTCTCAAACGAAATGGTCGTAATGGTCGGTTTCTATAAGGCAAAAACTGCCCAATACCCCCTAATTCTCGGTTTCAAGGGCGTGAACGTAATAGAGTTCCCCAATTGAACATCAGTAATCAATATAGGAGATAAATTATAATATTCAGAAAAATTTACACTCCCTTGCAGTATATACATTCTACAGTATAAGGACTTTGACATTACACTTCCGCTTGAATTTATGCCCGTAATATTTATCAATCAACACATTTGGGATGTGATTGAATGATATAGGACCCCAGGGTTAGATTTCTGGACCCCTGGACCCCTGGCGGTAGATACCTGGACCATTGGACTCCTGGGTTAGATACCTGCAGAGCTGGAAAGTATGATAATATCACAGCAAATTCCAGAATCTGTTGTAACTGGTTCAGTAGTTGTAGACGTCGTAGTTCCAGTCCTAAAACATCCCCAGTATAAATATGACACGCGGTGGTTCAAAATCTAGTCAATAGCTGTATTTCCAACGGCCAAACCCGAACTTTAAGTATTTCTGATTTAAAAAGATAGTTTAACTTCCTTGTGGGATGATTTATTTCGCTGTAAAAGCTCAACGTATGTTTACTCACAGTAAACGATAAACAGCATGAAGTATTGGCATACTTATGAAAGAAATGAAAATTTTAGTCTAAGGAAGTAGGATCATTTAAGAAGGTATTCTGAACTGTTTGTTAAAATAGGGTTCAAGTACTTAACTATTAAACTGTGGAATTGGAAGACTTCGTTTAAAGGGACAGACCGGCTATATAAGGTAGTTAAACTGAGTATGCAGTGTTGTTTGTGGACACATTTTTAAGGATTAATTTGAGACATATAAAACTTATAAAGATCTGTGAATCCTGAGTTTGAGCGCAAAGTCGACGTTCAAAATCGTACTTTTGGATAGATACGTTTTCAGAATTTTTTATTAAATAACGACGACAATAAATGTTAACAAAATTCTACAGTAAACAAATTAGTTGTTTTGGAACAGGTTGAGAAAATAAAAATTAATCATATCATCGAAAATAAGTAATTTTTTATTTTCTAATTATTCTAGTTTATCATTATTAACACAGATTTTTTGCAGATGTTCTGGAATTATTTTTGAAAAGACAACATTTGAAGATTTTGTAGAAAGAAATCTGCGAATAAATTCATAGAAAATAAGAAATTCAATATAATGTTGAAAACGAAATAATTGATATTAGCATTGATCTATTGACAAATTTCTTTTGACAAATAAGTTCCTAAACATCTAATTAGTTTACTGTATAATTCTTAGTTAATTTTTCGTCGTCGTTATTTAATAATTCAAAAACCTATTCTGAAAACGTATCTACCCAAATTCATGATTTTGAACGTCGACTATGCAATTATACATCGTTTCATATGTTTTAAATGAATCCTAAAGAATTTGTCCACAACACTGCATACTCAGTTTAACTCACTTACATCGCCGGTCTGTCCCTTTAACCTATTTTATTTTTATTTGTTTTTCTGTAAAATCATGATTCTTTATTTCACAATAAATCTTCCTATTTTACAGTTTTTATTGGGTACACTTGCACGCAGAGGCGCAACTAGGGGGGGGGCGGGCGCGTCCCCCGACCATTACATAATAATATATTGCCCCCCCCTACCAAAAGTCCTAGTTGCGCCTCTGCTTGCACAACTGTACTGATTGTTAGATTTATTGTTTACCCTGCGGTAGTAGTTTTAGCTGTAGTAGTGCTAGGTTTCTCATTTGTTGAAGGTTTAGTTGTGGTTGTAGTTTCTCCACATCCAACACAGATAGCAACAACAGGTTCCTGTCCATCATGGGGTTTTAAGCTAGCTTTCCCACCAGACACCTGGACAGTTTGAGCACACTCGGAGATAATATCACAGTAGGAACCTAGGAATATACTACCTAAAGGGAGTGTTCGCGAAAAATGAAGCGGGCTTAAATCAAAAAATTATCAATGGTCGCTACTAATCTTATTTCTATCTGTTGCGTCTATAAGGATAAAATTGTTAAAAACGACTCATACCAAAGAACGTAGTGTTCACACAAATTCAGAAAGTTGCAACATTCAGCTTGAATGGATCGTAAAAAAATCAATTTAATTCCAAACAAATCATTCAGATATTACAACTTATAATCATGGACAATTTTTCAATGCATTCGTGTAGAGTTGATATTCGTTCATAATAAGTGAAATACATGTATTTGTTCAAGATTAGTGAATAAATGTACATATTCATGATAAGTGAAATAAATGAATTTGTTCATGATAAGTGAAATAAATAAATATATGTTCATGATTAGTGAAATAAATGAATATGTTCATGATTAATGATATAAATGTATATGTTTATGATTAGTGAAATACATGTATAAGTTTATGATTAGTGAAATAAATGTATGTATGCAAGATTAGTGAAATAAATGAATATGTTCATGATTAGTGAAATAAATGAATATGTTCAGGATTAGTGAAATAAATGTATATGTTCATGATTAGTGAAATAAATGAATATGTTCATGATTAGTGAAATAAATGTATATGTTCATGATTAGTGAAATAAATGAATATGTTCATGATTAGTGAAATAAATGAATATGTTCATGATTAGTGAAATAAATGAATATGTTCATGATTGGTGAAATAAATGAATATGTTCATGATTAGTGAGTTTACCGTCAGGAAGTCCAGTGTTAAACTCTTTGTTGAGGTTTCCCATGGCAAAGAAAGCAACTGCTCCTCTAAACAAAATATTTGAAAAAGAAAAGCCCTCCCCCCCCCTCCATCTTAATTATGATGAATGTTTGTTTGACACCGTCTTATGGAGTTCTGTAATTATTGTCGATACTCTGTCAGTTTTATGTACACTAAGGTAGAACCTTGCGGAATTCTTTAAAATCTGGAGGAAATAGCTCCAAAACTATTTTGAACTTTTTTCTATTTGAACTTCGACTTACTTAGAGACCTTAATATAGTCTAGACTATAAGTATTCATAGAAATTGAACTAGTACAATATTGTTTAAGCATTTACATAAAAACATACTTTAAGATCAGCTTTAGCAGCTTTCAGATCAACTTTATCAGCTTTTATATCAGCTATATCAGCTTTTATATCAGCTTTATCATCTTTATCAGCTTTATCCACTGTATCAGCTTTCAGATCAGATTTCAAATCAGCTTAATCAGCTTTCAGATCAGCTTTTTTAACTCTCAGATCAGCTTTATCAGCTTTATTAGGTTTCAGATCAGCTTAAGTAGCTTTCAGATCAGTTTGTCAGCTTTGGGATCAGCTTCATATATCGGAACTGAAAAATATTCTTTGTTTTTTTACCTGGCAAATCCTACATAATCCGAGCCTGCATCCCAATTCTTGATTGGTTGACCTGCGGCTACATTACTGAACTCAACCATATTACCAATAGATTTCCACCTTAATTAGAATAATTGCTGTTAGATGGGGAATTATAATTGTAAACATACAAAATTAAGTGTTTCAGGAGAAAATATTTAAAAACCTTCAAAAATATATGTTGCGGGAATATTTTCCCCCAACACTGAAAAAGAGGAAAAGGCAAGAAAAGGCAAGAAAAAAAAAGAAAAGGGAAGAAAAGTCAAAAAAGGCAAGAATAGGCAAGACAAGGCAAGACAAGGCAAGAAAAGGCAAAGGAAAGGCAAAGAAACTTTACATATTTATTGTTTACATTACATTTAATAAATATTTGCCAATTTCATGAGACACAAAGAATGAAATTTACAGAATTCAAAATTTTTCAAGATACCAAAATAAAAGGTAATTTCTTAAAACGTTTGTGTACGAACTTGTCTTATTTCAGTGGCTATTTCTATAGACCAAATAAACTTTGAAACAAAACAGAAGTCAAAATATAAAGTTGATTTCAATTTTATTTTCATTCTAATCGAAAAAAAATATTTTGGAAATGTTCTAAATATTTTTGGAGAAAATCTGGTTACCAATCAAATCTTTATACCACACGTGACGTGCTACATTTCACAGCTAATTTAACTTTATAGCACGATGATTACTTAGCACGTTTATTATGAAATTCACGATGAAGTGAGTAATAATGATAAAGTGCACTATAGTTTCATAAATTTACAAGACCTGCCTTCAAAGGAAACGAACGATTAACGAACATCAATACAGTAGAAAAAATGAAATTGACAAAAACAAACGATATAAAGTCTTTTACTGAAAGAATATTTTCATTGAAAAAAAAACAATTTAACTCAATGATCGTTCAGTGAGTAAAAACCGAAATAGATGGAAAATAAACGATAATTTTGAAAATGAACAAAGTCGATTTCTTGAATGAATCAAAAAAAAAACGAAATGGGTCGTTCACCAACGTACACTAGCCATGGTTAAAACTTTCATATTAAGAGCTCTGTATTTTTTTTAAAACACCGGCCTCATAATTCTAAATATGTACATACTCATCTGCTTATGTTTTACCTATGTTCACAAACCCATTCACTCCCTCCACATCCAGGGGATGAAGATGGTGGGCCCTGCAAATATATTTTTAAGTACATTTATTAATATTCACCGTAGTACAATGCAATTAGTAGTTTAAAATTTACAAACTATAACATGTAATTTAAAGTATTTCCATATTTTCTTACACCAAGCTGTAGATATACCTGATCTGAGGATGAGAAGTAGTAGCTAGACATAAGTCGTTTAAATCCATAATCATGCGCCAACATGAACGCAGATCCAAGTTTATATTTGTAGGGATCCTGCATACAAACAAATCAGTTCAATAAACATCAATTAAAATAGATTTTATAGAAATATACTGACTTTATGAGTTAAAAGGTTTCCACCACCACCATGTCCTCTTTGATTATCATGGTTATCAATAAATACAGCAGCATGATCATAGTCGGACATCCCCCAACCTTGATCATAAACCCCTCCAAGAGCAGCAAAATTTGTATTAGAGATTGCCTCAGCAACCTAAATACACAAATATTAATATATTTTTGTTTGCTCTATACATACACTGTGTATCTGTTGTTTTAAATGAATAATAAATTGAACATATTTTTGTTTGTATTTTTTTTAAGGGACTGTAAGCGTTACATTACTTGAATCTACATGCAAATAGGACAATGGCCGATTCATAACGGTAATCTTGAAACCTTTTACTATTCATCGAGTAGAGAGATCTTAAAATTTAAAATTATCGAAACCCGCTTGAATTGCTCTAAAACGTGACTGAACGCAAGTCAAAATTTTAAACAGTACCGTTATGCACTGAGACAACTCTGAAAGATAGCCATAAAATATTTAGAGAACCTTGACTTTAAAGTGTCGCAGCGCCTTTGCCTTGTGGTTTACCTCACAAACTAATAAACTTTTTTTTGTAGCCGTGGACATGGACATTTAGAAATTGCAACGTGTTCGTTTTTAGCTTGACCCTTTAAAGAAGCAATTGACAAAATTCTGCTCGATTGTTGCTTGAGAGCGTTCACATCTGGAAGTTCATTTGAAATTGCACTTACAGTCCCTTTAAATACAACCTTTATTCCATATCTGAACTCAGTAGTTCTCCCAACTCCATAGTACTCCTGAACCTTGATCACTTCACCTCCTTGGTCAATAACTTCATGGAAAAAGAAAGGTCGTCCTCCTTCAGGCAAATTTCCTACTTTGTCAATAGTTTCTTTTATATCTCCAGGCCACATATGTTTAGCAGCATCAATTCTAAACCCCTTGACTCCGATATCTACACAGTCCTATAACATACAAATTAAACAATTTTTATTTTTCAATTTATGAAAAGTTTTTTTTTCATTTTAAAGATGTTAATGATTATTTATTTCTGAATCCATTAATCATAAAAGTCTTATGTCAACGAAATACTTTTTAGTTTTATCTGTTTCTGAACGATTATGCTGTTCTCTATTTTCAAGTTTGAGGATTTTCTTTAAAAATCTTCTTCTGAGATTCTCTTTAAGTTTTTACGAGATTCTATCACGGTTTTAGAAGTTATCATCAAACTGTTATGGGTTTAAGAATTTTTTGAGATCCTATCAAGCAAACAGTTTTCGATTGGTGGAACAGATGGATAGGATTTCTTAATTTGTGTTTACCTGTAGATATGCTGCTATCTTAGTTCTAACATAATCCTTAGCTCCAGCTAGGTCATTCAGTCCAACAAGATAACAGTTTCTCACCTAGTTGGGTGTCCCACGAAACATGACAGAAGCAAGACGGCTTGAAAGTCGTCTTTAAACTTTTAATGTGTTTGAACAAAATTCTTGAACTCTTCGATAATATTGAAAAAAACAAAAAAAAGGCTGAGGTCATTTTGGAAATGACAAGACTACTGGTATTTAGTGATTATTAATTTTAGAAATTTTACTTCTAAAATTAGGTTTACCAATATTTCAAAGATCAAAGACGACCTTCGATTATTATTGCCACAGTCATGTTTCGTGGGACACCCTGTATATGAATAAAACTTTATTTGTCCTGTAAGGATAAATTTAAATTTTTAAAGGAACTTTCTAGTTTATTAGAGTTGGCCCTCTATTTAGAGACTGCTTTTCTAATTCACATTTCTCTCTCTCGTATACCATTAACCCGCAAGCCATTTGTAAACACAACCTCAGATGAAAAATGTAAAGTTATGAATAGAAAAATAGGGAAAATTCCATTATTTCTGACGCAGAAAAGGTGTCGTAGTGCATCCGACATGCCCTTCTTGAAAATGAGAATTGCATTAAATTCCGTCAAGAGTCCAGAAATGAGATTTTAAAAGCTTAAACCCGACTATAAAACCCAAACTCGGGCTTAGATAGAACCCAAGTCAGGATTGGTTCTGATTCGACCAATGAGAGACTATTTAGCAAGCTTTCTCTCTGCAGCAGACAGAAAGCCGTCAGATCAGCTATGACAAGGAGATGTAAATTTCGAAAATTCAAACTTTATGTAGATTCATTATTTTCATAGTATATGTTTATTTTATAAAATCAATAAAATTTGACACCACAAATAATTCGCAAGATTTTAAATGTACAAATATAAAAGATTTTATGAAAATTAAAATCATCTATTTAGAATCTACATTGGGATAATAATTTATTGGACACTCAGTAGTTTGCGAGACATCCTGTATTTTATAGGATATCTTGTAGTTTCCTGGGACACCCTGTAGTGTATGGGACACCTTGTAGTTTAAAGGATATCTTGCAATTTCTGGGACACCCTGTTGTTTATAGGAAATTTTGTAGTTTTTTGTACATTATTTAGTTTATGGGACACCCTGTAGTTTATATGATATCTTGTAATTTATGAAGTATGCTGTAGTTTATGGTAGATTCTGTAGTTTATGGGACACCCTGCAGTTTATAGGATATCTTGTAGGTTCTGGGACACCCTGTAGTTTAGAGGATATCTTGTAATTTATGAAACTGTAGTTTATAGGACACCCTGTAGTTTCTGAAACACCCTTCATTTTAAAGGATATCTTTAAGTTTATAGGACACCCTGTAGTTTATGTGACATCCTGTAGTCTGTGAGACATCTTGCAAGCTGTAGGGACACCATGTATTTTTAAAAACAACCTGTAGTTTATGGGTCACCCTGTGGTTTATGGGACAATCTGAAGTTTATGGAACACTAAATAGTGTATGGGAAACCCTGTAATTTATGGGTCACCCTTTAGTTTATGGGACAATCTGTAGTTTATAAGACAGCCCTAATTTTATGGGACATCCTATAGTTTATGGGACATCCTGTAGTTTCCGGGGAACACCCTGTAGTTTCTGGAACACCCTTTAGTTTAAAGGATATCTTGTAGTTTCTGGGACACCTTGTAGTTTCTGGGACACCTTGTAGTTTCTGGAACACCTTGTAGTTTCTGGAACACCTTGTAGTTTCTGGAACACCTTGTAGTTTCTGGAACACCTTGTAATTTCTGGAACACCTTGTAGTTTCTGGAACACCTTGTAGTTTGTAAAGTTACCTGTTTTGAGAATGGAACCCCAGGATAATCTTGTCCACCTCCATTATATGAAGATCCTCCTGTTCCTGTTCCTTGGCCATCTAATCCAGACCTTAAACATCAATATATTACACATTTAAGACATTTAAGACATTAGAGACATAAAGGACTTTTTTAGACAAACGAATTTATACGCTTTTTATACAGGATTCCAGAATGAAAGAGATAATACAAAATAAGTGCCATACAGTCGTTTCTAAAGTCTCATCCTTAGCTGGTGGGTTACGGTTTAAAAATAATAATAATAATAACATACTTATTTAAATTTAACTATAAAAAAATGCCATGGTATGTATGGTAATTAGAAAATCAGTTATTTTCATTCGTTACAGCAAGAAAATGAAGTTTCTATTGCAGTTAAAATCAATATGAATCCCACCTCTGTAGTTATTTTAGCATAATATAGAACGATTTTGAAATTTGTTATTTAACTTACATATGGTTGATGACCCCGTCTACGACAATATTAACTCCTACAGCAGAACATCTGTTTACCATGTCAATAAAATCATCTCGAGATCCTGATCTTGACTCTAGTTTATAAGATACTGGCTGATACCTAAATATAAGATACTGGCTGATACCTAAATATAAGATACTGGCTGATACCTAAATATAAGATACTGGCTAATATCTAAATATAAGATACTGGCTGATACCTAAATATAAGATACTGGCTTATACCTAAATATAAGATACTGATTGATACCTAAATATAAGATACTGGATGATACCTAAATATAAGATACTGGCTGATACCTAAATATGAGATACTGGCTGATACCTAAATATAAGATACTGGCTAATACCTAAATATAAGATACTGACTGATACCTAAATATAAGATACTTGCTGATACCTAAATATAAGATACTTGTTGATACCTAAATATAAGATACTGGCTGATACCTAAATATAAGATACTGGCTGATACGTGATATCTAAATATATACTGGCTAATAACTAAATATAACATACTAGCCGATACCAAAATATAAGATACTGGTTAATACCTAAACATAAGATACCATGGCTGATACCTAAACATAAGATACTGGCTGATAACTAAACATAAGATACTGGCTAATATCTAAACATAAGATACCATGGCTGATACCTAAATATAAGATACTGGCTGATACCTAAACATAAGATATCATGGCTGATACCTAAATATAAGATACTGGCTGATACCTAAACATGTGGTATCATGGCTGATACCTAAATATTAGGTACTGACTGATACCTATAAGATACAAGCTGATACCTAAATATAAGATACTGGCTGATACCTAAATATAAGATACTAGCAGATACCTAAATATAAAATACCATGGCTGATACCTAAATATAAGATACTGACAGATACCTAAAAATAAGATACTGACTGATACCTATAAGATACTAGCTGATACCTAAATAGTAATTTAGCTTTAATACAAATACAAAATAAACCACGTACTTTGATAGGGTAAAGTTTTTACTTCAGTACAGTAAACTATCTGTATACTGCAGTACATGAAACAATTTGCTGCAGAACATTGAATAATGTGCTGAGTAAACTTAACTATGCACTTCATTGCAGTACTTCAAAATATGTACTGCAGTACAGTAAACTATTTGCTGCAGCACATGGCAGTAAAATATGTGGTGCAGTACAGTAAACTATGTACTGCAGCACATGGTAGCAAACTATGTACTGCATCCCATGGCAGTTAACTATGTTCTGCAGTACAGTAAACTCTGTACTGCAGAAAAGTAAACTATGTGCTGCAGCACATGACAGTAAACTATTTGCTGCAGTACAGTAAACTATGTACTGCAGTACAGTAAACTATGTACTTTATTTCTGTAAACTATGTACTGCAGCACAGTAAACTATGTACTGCACAGTAAACTATGCGCTGCAGCAGATGGCAGTAAACTATGTAATGCAGTACAGTAAACTATGTGCTCCAGTACAGTAACCTATGTACTGCAGCACATGGCAGTAAACTATGTGCTACAGTAAAGTAAACTATGTACTGTATTTCAGTAAACTATGTTATGCAGCATATTAAACTATGCACTTCACTGTAGTACTTTAAACTATGTACTGCAGCACATGTCAGTAAACTATGTGCTGCAGTACAGTGTGTAAATAAAGAACCTGGTCCACCAAGGGCTTCCTTGAATATGTTCATTTGGAGGAGAAACCTTAAACAAACAAATATTTTTCATGATTATAATTGAATACAAATTTAAAAAAAATTATCGACAAACACGCGTAAAATTTTGAATAGAAAGACGACATTACAACAATCTAATGTTCCATGTTGTTAAAAAGCAAAAAGTTTTATAAATGGCTTGAAATTAACTTATCAAGTGCAAATTCCAATGTATCTGTGTAATGGAATCTGTAGTAAGTACATTCTGCAATTACTGTCTGTCATGTTTATTTGATCACAACTTGATTCTGCCCGACGCGTGGTCTTCCTATTCTACATTTTTATGAGTCTACACGTCGTATTCCTATTCTACAGTTTCATGATTATACCCGTCTTGTTTCTTTTTAACAGTTTTATAAGTCTCCCCGTCCGCTTCCTATTCTACAGTTTCATGAGTCGTCCTCTTCCCATTCTACAGTTTCATGAGTCGTCCTCTTCCCATTCTACAGTTTGATGAGTCGTCCTCTTCCTATTCTACAGTTTCATGAGTCGTCCTCTTCCCATTCTACAGTTTCATGAGTCGTCCTCTTCCCATTCTACAGTTTCATGAGTCTCCCCGTCCTCTTCCCATTCTACAGTTTAATAAGTCTCCCCGTCCTCTTTCTATTCTATAGTTTCATTAGCCTCCCCGTCCTCTCCCTATTCTACATGTTGATATTTTCTGTGTTTACCTGCACTCCGCAAAATCCCTTTGGACCAAGGTACTCTTCACATTCTTTCGCAATATCTTTCCATTTCCATTCAAACAAATGAACTATGATTTGGCGCCCAGACTGCAAGTAAACCCCTACTTTACTATTATTATTAATCCTAGGAAAAGGGGAGGTGGTTGGGTAGGGTAGGGTAAGGTAGGGTAGGATAGGGTAGTAGGGTAGGAAGAATGAAATAACCAGAAAATATGGCTATTATGTAAATGCACTGTAACGTTAAAACTATAGTAAACCGGTCGTTGAATTGAAATTTGTCATATTTTTAATCTCTATTATTGTAGAGATATTGAGAAATACAATGAAAATGTGTAAAACTACTCATATGTTACCAGATACTTTCCGACCTACTTCAATATCGGACCTACGCCAGCTGTTTATTTTTGAATTATTTGAAGGTTAGGTTAGACTTTTTCATTGTCTGGGTCGCAGCGCTCTGCCCAGACAATTTCTGGGCCGAGCGCTGCAGCTAGGGCAGGCTAGGGGGCCGGGCGCTGCTTTCACAAGTCCAACAAGCAGCTGTAAAATCACGTGCTAGTTATAGGTCGGATGTGTAGGATAGTTGATTTAGCATAGGTCAGAAGTTGAGTAAAGCGGATTTTTGTAGGTCAAATGATACACCATCAATTGACCTTCTTCTTCTGTCTGGGTGAGCGTGTATGAAACATACATACATACTTCTCTTGTCTCAACATAATTACAATTTTACAGTGAAAAATATTGATAGTCTATATCTTCAATTTGCATACTGAGCACTATGCAATATTATACAGTGAATCCCAGATATATGAATACATAGCAAAAACTAAAAACTTCTTTACAAAAACTTATGACGGTCTATGTATTCATATATCTGGGATTGTATGTAAATCGAACCTGCTAAAAGTATATAAAAAATGTACAAAGTTCACAGTAAACTCGTTTTTTCATGAAGTGTTTTGGGTCTCAGAAACATCTTTGATCGAAAAGAAAAGCTGAGTTGTGATTCTAGGCAATCCCTTTATATAAAATACCTGACAAACAGGATCATTATAAGCTCCAGACCTAAAATATATTCTTAATATTTTCATTGTGATCTTGCCAGGCTACAATTTGTTACGTAAAACGTCCTTGGTCTACTTTCAAAAGGGTAGTCCAGACTGGACAGTACGACTGAATCCATATACAGTACATGTTTACAAGCTCGGATCATGAAACTTTTAGATCGAGTAAATGATATTCTTCATTCTTTATTTTGTATTTATCATTTTTTACAATGTCGATTCACAATAATATTAAAAGCCACTTTTCCTGCGATGTTAAAAGAAATTCAATAAAAAAAAATTAATATTTTAAAATTTAGTTTTTAATTTTAAAAACTGCCAAATTTTTTAAAATCTATAAAACATTATGTTTTATTACATTTTTTTGTAAGCTTTTTCAACAATCTGCAGACAAATACATTTCTTACCATATACATTAATTTGTATTCATACATTTAAAAACTTATCGAAACAATCAATATCTTTAAAGATTCATCCCATTTTTACTATTATTTGGGAAAAAGTTTAAAACTATAATATTAATCTTTAAAGAGAGTGACCGGCTATGTAAGGCAGTTGAACTGAGTATGCAGTGTTGTGGAAAACTTCTTTCGGATTCATTTTAGACATATTAAACTTTTTAAAGATCTGTAAATCCTGAGTTTGAGCGCAAATTCGACGTTCAAAACTCCTACTTTGGGGTTGGATACGTTTTCAGATTTAGTTTTTTTTAAATTATTAAATAACGACAACGAAAAATAAAGTAAAAATTATACAGTAATCTAATTAGATGGTTAGGAACATATTTCTCAAAAGAAATTTTTCATTAAATCAATGCTAAAATCGATTATTTCGTTTTCATTATTATATTGAATTTCTAATTTTCTTTGAATTTATTTGCAGATTTCTTCAAATTCTTCAAATGTCGTCTTTTCAATAATAATTCTGGAAAATCTGCGAAAACCTTTGTGAAAAATGAGAAACCAGAATAATGAGATAATACAGACTAATAAGTGAACAAGATTACTTATTTTCGATGATAAGATTAATTTTTATTTTCTCCACATGTTCCTTAACATCCTGTCTGTACTCTGTAGTTTATTGTAGAACTTTTTTACATTTTATGTCGTCGTTATTTAATAATTTAAAAAAAATACTAATCTTTTTTACAAAGTCCTTCTTGAATCACCTTGTTCTATTGAAAGCAAGGCCTTGTGTAAACAATGTAAAGAATAATATAATAATATTCCGCGTCTTCAACATTTTACAGACTAAACTCAGAGATAACATAATTACAGGACACATCTTTCATGCTGGGTAAACTCAGTTATATTAAAGGGACTGTAAGCAAAATTTTAAGTGACCCTCCATGCAAAGCTGGCAATGCCAAATTTACATCAGTACCCATAAACCTTAAACTGATCAAAAAAAGGGAAGATATTGTCGTTTTTCTTACTCGAAAGTTTTTGTTTTCTTTGAGTTTATCCATTGCTTCTTATAATAAATTCGAACCTGACAAAAGGAGTTATACCCGACATAGATTAATGAACAAAATATACAAAATATTTGTTTTTAAGGAACTGTTCAAGTAATTTCAAAGAAACCACCTTTTGCAGAGTCCGATTCACTGCAAACCTTCTGAAATTGTATGGAATCGCTTATATCCCAGTGGCACTCAATTTTTAGCTAGAAGTCTAATTGATATCTCCGTCTAACCAGACAAAAGTTTTTAAATGGTAACAGTGTGAATCAATCCGATTACGTACAGTCCCTTTAAGGTATTATTTACTAAAATACTCTTATCAAAGTAAACGAATTATAAAACAGTTTTTGATAAGAAAAGACAATACCTATAAGAAAACATTACATCAGGTATATTGTCTTCGTTCATGATCAATAAATTGCATTATTTTTTACCCATGCTTAATAATTCTTATTTTTACCCATGGTTTTAACAATTATTATTATTTATATATCTGCTACTTCATAATTCTAATTATTTACCTACTATAGTTACTTAATGATTATAAAGATTAGATAAGATAAGCCATTGTACAGTACAAAAACGTCTTGAGTGTCATTTCTGTTAAGACAGTGAATTACATTAAAATATGCCAATTTAGTAATATTAGATTTAACTAATATTTTATTATTGACGGCTTTTTCCGTTCATTTTCTAGATTATTAATACCACTTACCAGTCTAACCAAATGTTTTTAGTCCTCAATTCCAGTTAACGTTTGGTTTGGTTTAACCCTCTTTTACATTATATTTAAAATTGGGATAGGGCAGTGTGTTGCGTTTAATAGTTTATTTTGAACATCTTAGACAGCAAACTTGAAGTATTTAGACGCGCGCTGGTACAGCTTTAAATATGTGTAAGAACTTAAGAAGCGGTGGAAAAATGAAATAAAAAGTCTTTTATTTTTAACAAAAATTAACAAAAATGAATTTAAACAAACTATTCTATTGTTAAGATATCCTTGGACATGATGTATCAATTAGCCTTTTATCACTAGCCGCAGTTTTTCTACAGTGGTATGCGATTATACCAATACAATGAAGACGAATTTTTTTTAGTTTTGATTGTTTACAAGCTTTTTTTAATATACAAGCTGACAAGTAATCAAAGGGAACCTTTTCAAATTGACAGCTTCTCTTGACTTATTTGTTTATCTTAAACAGCTTGATTAAAATCAAAAGCATTGTATTGATATAATCGCCTATCACTGTACCGAATTTTGAACAAAATTACAAATTTGAATAAAATACGCTGATACTTAAAGAGTATTCTGAAGATTGTCTAGCACTGTATGGAGGGTGTCCCACGAAACATGTCGAGAGTAGGAAAGCATAATTTTGATAAAAATAGATCTTAAATGTTGAAAACTTCTCTTCTTAGATACTTATATATGTAGTTAACAGTTAGAATATACCTATAAATACCAAATATGGAAGATATCTATAATTTAGGGTTCAAGTGCTTCAGGCTAATTTAGCATAATGATAACTTGGCTGTTCTAGGTTTGTTCTAATATTTAAACCATAAGCTTAAAATCTAGCCTAGCCTACACTATTACGGAATATTAATAACATTAATAACAAGCCCTTCCTGCTTAAACCGAACCCCTCTTTTTGTAACATAGCTTAAAAAGTGTCAATCTACAGTGAGAACCATAAAACTGTGGAATAAGAAGACAACTTTAAGGCACAAGTTATGATTTTAAATAGTTTACTGTATATATAGCGATTGTGCAGTGTTCACAGACCACATTTACTTTAAAAGTACGATTTTCAAGCAACTGACGAAGCAACATCTACTGCGCGCACAATAGATTGTTTATAAAGTCGTCTTCATATTCCAGAGTTGTATGGGTCCCGCGCTGTAAGTTGTTCATTTTTTTATTTACTTTTCCTGTAACTTTAGACTAACTATATCCTTTTGACCTCTAGTAACTTTTGTTCCGGTTTCAACAATTTATACAGAGAAAAAAGTTAAAATAAAAAGAAGTTTGACATTGAATCCCGTGAAAACAAATCAGGTCTTGTGCCATTAAAAATCTTGGTTTAATTATATATTAGAGATATTAGGAATTAACAAATCTATTTTGTTTAAATATATTTATTAAATATATTTTGTCAACAGTGTGAAAGATTAAATAAATAAATAAATAAATAAATAAGAATTGCGGGCAAAAGTGTAAAATATCTACATCGAGGTAACAATAGTAGATGGACTAGATGAAAGTAAAGGATAAATCCATTTTTGGGACCTTTTTCCTTTTCCTAGTTTTCTTGGACTAGAATCTAGAATCTGGCAAAGGGCGCGTATTCTGCAGGTGCTGCTTGGTACTGGGCAGGTGCACGCACAGCAACCTGGCTGAGAACGGATTCTGCTCCAATGACTGGGGCGCGTGCGTCAATTTCATCATATGACTCTCCAGGGGCAGCAGGGGTAGGGTCCAAACACCACTTGGTGAGAAGAGGTTTGTCTACGGGAACAGGGGCGGTAAACTTGAGATGACAGGTCTCCTTAGGTACAATAGTACACTGATGCTCAGGGGCTAGACGAGGAACAAGCTTGGTGATATACTTGCAGATCTTCTGGGGGTTGAGGTCACACACCTCCTCGGGGACATCAACGATGGATGTGATAACCTTGTTGTGGCATTCCTCCTCACCTTCAGTAAATACACATCCAGCACCACAGATCTCTACAGGAAGCTTCTCACAGCTAGTGTCAGCAACAAACTTACCAGGCTGCTTCTCAACATACTTGGTTGTGCAAGCAGATTCATAAACAGTTTGGCAGATTTCTTCTCCCTGGCCGTTACATTCCTTGATAGAAGGTTTATAACACTTCTCCACGGTCTCGTTGAAAGCTTGTTGCTTGAAGGTGATCTGACATGTCTTCTCGAAGTTTTCCTCGCAAACTTCCTCCTGAGATGGGACGAACTTGGTGACATATGTATAGTGGCACTGCTCAGTGTTCTTGTGTGTGCACTCTAGGATTGGATCCTTCTTCAAGGTCTGAACAGTTTCCTCCTTCTCCACACAGCAGAGTCCAGTCTCAGCATCTTGGACACACCCGGAGAAATCAATCCCACCCTGGATGGCTCCTTCCTGTCTACCGGCCCGGGCAAGCTGGTTTCCGTGGTCATGCCCGACAAAGTCGGCTGCTGCGGCTCCAACGAGTAAGAGGAGTGTCAAGCCCTAAAATAAGAATTGATTAATTGATTGAATATGGTTTAATGAACAAGGAATAACGGAAGATAATTGATTTTATAAACAAATCTACTGAATAGTGAATAATCAAATAAATACTAAAGAGAATTGATCATTAAAGGCAATTGATCAACTCATTTTTAAATTAATTAATGTATGTATAATACAGTTTATGAATTTATTAAGGAGCAATAGGTTAATTTTGCTACTATTATTATTATTATTATTATTATTATTATTATTATTATTATTATTAGTAATATTAATAGTATTATTATTATTAGCATTATTATTATCATTCAAGTTTGATGCTTAAGTATAAGGATGATAAATTGCTTGTTTAAACTATATAACTAGATGACCTAGTAGAATTGTGGACAATTACTCGTATTTGGTTTTATTTTAACAAATAGGTTGATACAGGAAGTAGCTATAGCTTACATCTCATCCTCTTATTCCAGTAAACTATAGGTTTGGATACGCGCGTGCGCAAGTTTCCAACTTCCTGAGGTTCAACACTGGGTGCGCCAGAATAACATAAGAACGAATATTAAATTCATAAAATTAAAATTGAATATTTTCTGTATAGAAGATCTGTGGTTATCATTAGTCTGTTATATCATGTTTTAAGAACAAATTGGAATAAGTTTTAAATTAAAATAAAACAAGGTTTTTGTTTTCTGTGACCCCCTGTATTGTATTAAACTGGAAAATGATGGTCTATCATAGCAATGGTTATTGGGGGATGGAGTGCAAAAAATACTTAAAATGAGATATAATAAATTAAAAGGTATAAAAATTATATATCCACCACCACCACCATTCAACTAAAACATATGTTTAGTAATACAATTTTATAAAATATTATATCGCATAAAACCTTAAAATTAAAAACCAGTTCGATGCAAATTTAAATACTTTTTTACAAATATTTTAGATTACAATATGGAATTAAAAAAATAGGTTTGAGAATAAATTGTAACCCTAGAGTGCATTGCTAAATATACTTTCGCTGGTAACCGTGCGCTGTTGCGTGCAGATTTTTATTTGCAAAACTGGCTGAATTATTTTTACCAAATGAGCACAAGGTTGACTTAAATCCAATTTTAAGCTGAAGTTATACATTTTTGGATTTGTTCTCAAATATTTGATTGGCTAAAACAAATCTTTGCAAACTGAGATGAATAATGATAAAAATCCTGTCGTAAATAAATGTTACTTCCCAACCTTATATAAATGTCTGAACACTCGCTTTAATTTGAAATCTGTCTACGCTGCCAAATCATATTGTTGTATACGCCAAACCTAAGTTTGAACTATTCGTGATTGCATACACAGTATCACATAGGACATGGAGGGGTCAAACCTGCACATGTGCATGCACAGAATAGGAGTGGATAGTGGGGCTTAGTGTATGGAGACTGGGGAATGATGTATTATAGTAAGTGGGGACTGGGAAGGTGGTATTTAAGTAAAAGAACGTTAAAAAGATGGACGTTATTGGTTGCTATAGCAGTAGAAGTGGTAGGTTGCATGGGGGAGAAAAATAAGGAAAAAGACAAAGAAGCCGTAAGAAATAAAAAAGTAAAGAAAGGCAAAAGATTAAAAAAACGGAAATGAAGACAAATTGAAATGAAAAAAACCGAAAAGGGAAGGATTCCAGGGCATCATGGTGGATCTCTCCTCTATGTTGCAGATCTACTTGGACCTTGCCCTCATATAAAAATATTAAACAGGGGCGGAAGTTTGAAGATTTGTGATCAGGAAATAAAGATATTTTACACAAATAGATAGATATAAAGATATATAGATAGATAGATAGATAGATAGATAGATATATAGATAGATAGATAGATAAATAGATATATATATAGATAGATATATAGATAGATAGATAGATAGATAGATAGATAAATAGAAAGATATATAGATAGATAAATAGATAGATAGATAAATAGATAGATATATAGATAGATAAATTTGTAATTTCAAGTTTAATGGAAGACAAGAAGCAGATGAAGATCATGAGATCAGGAGATCAGAAGATCAATAAATAACACCAGTTTCAAAGATCAATAAAAAACAAAAGTTTAAAAGATCAGGACACATATTGCATGCATGGAGCGGGAAGGGGGAAGGACCATAGTTCTGATAGAACGGGGGGGATAAGGAAGTGGGACAAGAGGACGTCAAAATAAATGCAGGAAATGCTGGGGAAAGGCATGAAATAAGTCAAGGAAAGATTGCATAGGAAGGACGGCAGAAAAGAGAGCATGAAATAAAGTTATTTTGAAAAAAACGAACCTGTAAAGTTGATAAAAATTGGAAAAAAAATTTAAATTATAATTTTGCTTAAATCCTTGCAACGCAATATTAATATAAAATACTATTTTTTAATGTTTACACAGTTTGCTTAAACAAATATTAAACTGTTTGAGAAGTTGGGACTGTTTATTTTAAAAATATGGTTCTTGGAATTTGCTAAAAATCTAATATTTACTCACATCGCGCAAATGTAAGAAAAACATGTTTTTATGTTTATTTATTTACGAATGTTCGTGAGCTATGACTAATTAGTTTGTAATTTTTCATAAAGATATAATTTAAAGATTTTCTTAACCTCTAATCAAGGGGGAGGGTTAAAGGGGGGGGGGTATGGGTCCGGGCTTATATTGTATGGGTTACAATCAAAGTAAAATACTTGTTAATTTTTTGAAGTATTAAATTCCAAAAAAATTTATATTTCTCTTAAAACTGCAATGTTTGAAGTTTTACATGCATTGTCAAACATTTCTTCTTTAAATTGTTGCCAATCTTAAATTAGAGGGGAGGCGTTGTTTAGGGTTCAAGGAAGGATTTGCTAAGTCTGATTTTTGTGCACGATTTAAGTGTTACAAAAAGAAAATATTATTTTGCACTGAAAGGATATACCCAAATCATTTGTTCAATGTTTTCTTTGTCTGCCTTGTTTCAGGAGATTTACAGTTTTAAGATAATTTCAATGTCAAGCAGTTCATTAGTTGTTTTATGCTGCGTTGAAGTCTATTATGAAGAAAACGGAAGTGAACTGATTTAAGTCAGGATTATTTCATATTTTTATTCAACTACAAAGCACGAGATAATACAATTAAAAAAATCACAATTTACTATGTAGTTTGGACCCGCCTAACCAGAGTAGGTTGTTTTAATTGGTTGGCCCACTATAAACGAATGAGAATTGCAGATAAAAACAATGTACATTGTACATTTTAAACATAAGAATGATAATAAATCAGGTAAAAGGTAAGGAGGAGGTGAGGGAGTATAAAGAAAAGTGAGGATACTCAGCGTAAGGGTTGGAACAGAGGGTAACATAAGTTATTAGAATCATGTTTATGAACTACAGGATGAAGAAGATAGTAAAGACTAAGTTTATCCACATGATACACAGTTTTTTTTTTACAGATATAATTTGCATAACTATCTAAATAGATCTTGGCGACTTTTCTTTTAAACGATTTTGCAGACTTAGTTTCTTTCAGCTCTAATTCAATCGAATTCCATATTTTTGGAAATAAGGCAGAGGGAAAACTTTCTAGGGTTTTAAAGAGAACCCGTTCAAGTTTATATGATTTTGTTCTATTTGGTTCAGCTAAAGAATTAAACATATCCTGAAAGGAAGCTGGAAGGTTTTCATAAAAGTATTTATGCATAAAAGATAGAACACCTAGTTTATTATAATAATTCTAGAAATCTTTTTTAAATTAATCTTTTCAAGGGACTGTAGGTGTTGTTTTAAACTTAATCTCAATTTGTAGAGTGGAAAGTCTGATTCAAAAGAATTCCCTAAACATATTTGTCTGGCAAGAGTAAATTAGCAATCCTAGCAAAAAATTGATTATTTTAACTTGTTCTTCCCTGTTAAATTTACTTTCGGATTTTTGCTGCAGAGAGCTGAAAGGAAATTGTCAAATTTTGCAAAATTCAAGATAGCTAAGCAACGATAACATAAATAACCGTTGTTAAATAGACTTACCACTCTATTAATCGAGAATAAAAAAAAACCCTTTAAGTCATCCTGCCCTTAAATGAGGGATGAAGTGGTTATGGCAACGTTACACAAAATTTGCATTTTACACCCCACCATAAAACAATTCTACTTGTCTAAGTTGAAAAAAATCAAATTTTGTTGTTCATCTGCTAGATTTTTATTTTTTTATATTTTGCTGTTTTATGCTACGTTAAAGTCCCTTTTATAATTTGTTGTTTTATGCTGCGTTAAAGTATTCACTGTGTATACTCCGGTTACCTTCATGTTTAGATGCCCAAGTATATTTTCTACTGATGGTGAATCTTCGCAACACAGGGTTTAAGTAGGTGTTGCCTTCAAACCAGAGTTTAGAAAACCTTGAAACCTTTCTTACATCAATATCTCGCGGGGGACAACATTCTTGCGTCTTTTGAGCTTGGGGTTAATAAGTATGCTTGACAAACTATGTACATTAGAATCATGCATTACATAAATTATAAGTTTAATAAAATTTACATAAAATATCTTTTGCATAAGATACATATGGCAAGAATAACTATAGCAATTTTTAAAATATTGCTTGTGCTTTTATTCAAATTTTTAGTTTTCCATAATTCTTTAATAGATATATTTTTTGCAATGAAAAGGTTATAAGTAAATATATTTATTTGTACATATTTTTTACAAAATATATCTCTCGTTACATTTATTTTAAAATCTTCTTTAAAAAATATATCTCTCAGAAAATATATTTGAATATTTCTTTTACAAAATATATTTCACAATAAATATATTTTCAATTTTTCTTACAAAATATATCTCTGAAGTTTGAAACGAAGTTATTTCCATATTTTCTTTATTTCTTTATAAATGGTTAAAAACTAATGCCTAAAACAAATGGAGTTTTTATATCAAGGAAGGAGGAAAGCTTTAAGTTATTCCTTCCCCTTCCCTTTCATGGTAAACATATTTCAAGTGCCGGCCCGGCTTTTAATCAGCTAGAGCAATGTAAGTACAAAAACAGATTCTATAAGGCAAAACGAAACCAATCAATACGCCAAAAAAGATTTATGTACTTTCCCTCACGGGCAGCCGTAGTACATTTGAATTTCTGAGCCGGGTCAACCTTTCCGGTCCCAGTTTGTACTGTATCGCCCGTACATTGGGTAAATAAAGCAGACACTCAATAAGACTAGCCGGTGCAACAAGGTTGATGCGGTCAGACTTTAGGTTTAATTTACTTTTACTAAAGGTTCAGGGGTGCGTGCTATGGCCTTTTAAATTTTCTTTTTCTTCCCCTCCATTCACATTACCTTCCCTTTCCTTTTCTCTTTTCTCTTTCCCCTCCTTTTCTATTTCTCCTTCCACTTCTCCCCCTTCTTCTCTTTCTCTTCCCTCTCCCTTCCCTTTCCTTAAGACATATTTATCACAAGCTGACACTGTGTTATGTTCAGTACAGAACTGATATCTGTAAACTCACTGTGTTATGTTCAGTACAGAACTGATATCTGTAAACTCAATGTGTTTCCCATTACTTCTTAAAGCTATCAACCTATTCTATATTTTGCACATCAAAATACCTTGAAAAACAAACCGACCTTAACTTGTGCAATTCTATTTAGTTTTTCTTAAAAGGAATTGAATTTATGCCACAAACTCATATATTATAATCCCTATATTTCTGCAAACTAATGGTGTAAACCATTGATATATCAAACTTAAATTATTTGTTCTAACATGATTCGTTGTGTTACAAAGATATAGGGATTAAAAAATCAGAGTTTCTGGCAAAGGATCAATTCCTTTAAAATGTTTTTATAAATATTAATTATTCTTCTCATCTTCTGTTCCCGGCTACTGGACTCAGATTTGGTTTAAGTATGAGGTGTGAATGTGTTTAATGGGGGTAACATCAAACCTAAACCTAAAATTGAATTGTAAGCTCAGATTGGCAGTTAGCACCTCCAGTCTCTATAGTTTACCACGCAACCAATATAAAGAATAAAATAAAAAAGGAAATAAAATATCTGAAGAATTTGGTAAAAGAAGAAAAATATTGTTCAGGAAAACAACAGAAAATAAAAAATAACACTTGTGAAGTTTTTGTCGGAGATTCAATAGAATTTCTGAACTATGCCACGTATCGTTGCTCGACAGCTTTCCGTAGGATCGCGCATCCTTCTTCCCCCNTCTTTCAAATATTCCCGGCATTTTGAATTTTAACTCTTTATAATCCGATTCGGCATTAACTTTCAGTTTTTTTTGCATTAATTCCATTTGTCAAACAATTAGATTAAAAAAGTATTCTCAAGCCTCCCCCCCCTCCTCCCCATCTTTCCTACATTGAACTCAGTCCTGAGTATTAATTCTGTTTGAGAGACATTAAGATACACAGAACAAAACTTAACACAGACAGCTAGACTAGACAATAGATATAAACCAACCAACAATAAAACAAACACCAAACATATACTTAACATACACCAAACATATTCTTAATATACACCAAACATATTCTTAATATACACCAAACATATACCTAACATACACCAGACATATACTTAGCATACACCAAACATATGTTTAACAAACACCGAACATATTTTTAACATACACCAAACATATACTTAGCATACACCAAACATATTTTTAACATACACCAAACATATACTTAACATACACCCAACATATTCTTAACATACACCAAACATATTTTTAACGTACGCCGAACATATATTTAACATACACCAAACATATACTTAGCATACACCAAACATATTTTTAACATACACCAAACATATACCAAGCATATACCGAACATATATTCAACATACACCAAACATATACTTAGCAAACACCAAACATATTTTTAACATACACCGAACATATACTTAACATACACCAAACATATACTTAACATTCACCGAACATATACTTAACATACACCGAACATATATTTAACATACACCTAACATATACTTAACAAACACCGAACATATATTTAACATACACCTAACATATACTTAACAAACACCGAACATATATTTAACATACACCGAACATATACTTAACATACACCAAACATATACTTAACATACACCAAACATATTTTTAACATACACCGAACATATACTTAACATACACCCAACATATACTTAACATACACCAAACATATACTTAACATACACCAAACATATTCTTAACATACACCGAACATATACTTAATTGCACTTACTATACATATACTTAACACACACCAAACATATTTCTAACATACACCGATCAAATATTTAACATATACTTAACACAAACCAAACAAATTTCTAACATACACCGATCAAATATTTAACATACACCAAACATATACTTAACACAGCATACCATATTTCAAACTTAGACTGCTTGATTTAACAAAATTCATAGTTCAGAATAACTAAGGTCAAACTACATTGTGTTGCAAAGATAAAGGGATTATGCAATTTGAGTTTGTGAACAAGACTCAATTCCTTTAACAAAAGCAATATAAAATTACTCCTGATTAATGCTGGACACCATGATGGGCTTAAATATTGTATGAAATATATTTGATAAATTCCCCATCCTCAACTAAGCTTTCGATGCATTCAGCAGTAATTTACAGTACACTGATCGAATATAAATTAGCGTTTAGTGGACAAGTGTCTCTGTCGTTGTCGAAGGTTGGGACTAGTATACCGTATAGTCGAAGGTTGGGACTAGTATACCGTATAGTCGAAGGTTGGGACTATTATACCGTATAGTCGAAGGTTGGGACTGTTATACCGTTCTTTTTTCGAAATCGTGTTTTTTAATTCCTTTTCAAACTGTAGGCACAAAGCATTTGCCTACTTAATATTAAACAAGATATATTTAGATGAACTTTCTGATCAATCAGGGGCGGATACAGGATTTAAGTGAGGGGGGGCAATATTTTTTAGGAATAAAAAAATGAACAAATAGGAACAAAAAATCGTCGCGAAAATTTTTTTTGACTTAAAAGCCTCAAAAAGAGTCAAAATTAATGACTAAGGACTAAAAAACTAGATTTTTAACTTTTATGAACAAAATTAACGAATTAGAACATGGATTTAGGAACAATTAAAAGATTGTTCAGGAATTAGGAACAAAAATAAATGATTAGAACAGGAATTTAGGAACAATTCCCTTCTCTCTCCAATATATAACTAATTCTAAAATAGGCAGCCAAATCGGGATCCATATTAATTTTCGTTGCTAAGAATACTCGACATTTTTTGCACTTCTTTTAATAAGCCCATTGCAGGTTTGGCTCTTTTTCGTGTTTTTGCTTTGATATAAAGTTTAAACATTGTATAGAAGAGGTGTAGGCTTTGTAATCATGTGTGTTTTTACAGTGTACGCTTTATTCAAGATGACTTGGAGGATTTTGATATGTCATGACATATATATACTGTATATTACACCGGTACAATACCATTTAAGAATTCAAATACAAACACCTTTTGCAAGATATTTAAGTTGCAAAATTGTTCCAACATCAGAGCTAGCATAATAAAGTAAAGACAGAAAGCAGTTTGCTAAATTATTTGCAATAGGTTTATTGCTAAAATACGGTTTACTGCCTATAATTTCCAACTACACACTAATAAAAACTACTTACAGAGTTGTTTAACATTTTTATCAAATAAATGTGCAAAATGTCATCTCATACATTGGGTTGCACATTTATCAATTATTTTTCCCTAACTAAACCAATTTAGTCCTTAATACCTTTATGTTATTAGCTATTTTTTAATCATGTAAATTATTTATTAAAAAACAAGAAAACTAAGGATAAAGGGATTTGAAAATTTTTGTTTGTGGCAAAGACTCAATTCCTTTCTTGATTCTTTTAGTTTCAAACCTTGATACATCACTTGGAATTTTTTTCATATTTTTTCAAACTATTTTTTGTTTGTATATAGTTTATGTGATTTTCTAAATAATATTTCGTTAGCGCTGGATTTCCGAACATTCCTGGAAAATATGAAAATGTCGTCATTATTATCAAAAATCCTCGAAACAGGAATAAATGTTTTCAAAAGTATCTCTCAGATCATTAAAAAAAAATATTATGAAATATCAACTATTTACGAATGCGTCGAAAAATAATCGATGATTATTGGTTGTAATATCTAAATAATTTGTTTGAAATTAAATTGATTTTTACGATCTGAGTTGAATGTTGCAACTTTCTGTATTTGTATGGACATTCTCCGGTATGAATCGTTTATAACCATTTTCTCCTTATTAACACAACAGATAGAAATAAGATTAGTAGCGATCATTTTTGCGAACACTCCCTTAAGCATTTGTGC